GCCGTCTTGCTGCACCGTGGGCGGCTGCTTCTGCTCGCCGTCGCCTTCCTGCTGGCTTCCGTCAGCGCTGAGAACCGGCATAGCCGGAGAAGACGACTTCTGACGACTGTCATGGCGGTCGTTTTCACGCACATGGTGCGCCGACCCGCCCGGGCTTGTCCCGCCTTCCTCGCGCTCCCTGCCGCTGGAACGCCGCCGGGAACCGCCACGGTCGCGCTTGGAACTCTCCTCGGTCGCCCTAGGACCCGAAGGCGCCCTCGAACGATGTCTATCGCGTTGCTTTTCACGCTTAGACCCCATGATACCAACGCAAAACACGAAGGTGTTTACAGGTTGCTCAAAAAAATTAGACTGGTGCGCATGCGCAGGGAGGGTGACCCTTCAACTTTGGGCGATACCAACTAGAGTCTACACGGGGGTGGACAGGCTCAATCACCTGAAGTATTCTGTCTGCCTGACATAAGAGGGAATGCGGTAGACAATCACAAACTAAACACTCTACTACTAACTTTCAACCTAAAAAAATTGCACAAGTCCAGACCTCTACCTGTACCAAAACAATCTTTAATTCATGGATGTAGTCTTCTTAGTTATAGTGATGTAAACTGTATTTTGGTTTGTCTGACCCTTACTTCTTCCCTCATGACCTCAGTGAAAAGCAGCCTGCAGGTCAATTTTTAAATTAAAAGCTTCTCACAAATAAAGAATAATTCAAACATAACAAAACTCAAATTTTCCAAGAACTATTGTAGATTGGAAATCCTTGCCACCAAGCACAGTCGGCACATCATCACTAGAAAGCTTTAATCAACTCCTGCAATAATTGTGCAAAGATTAGTTGTAACAGGTCGTTCGGTGTAATGTAGCCAGCTGCAGCCGCACCGCGTGCCTGTGAAGCTGGTGTGTTACACCGAAGGGCTGTTATATCGGCTATAGATACAGATACAAACAACGTACCAGCGACCGTGGTGAGTTGTCCATCTCCATCCCTGAGGATGAAGATTCTCTCCGGCAGGGTGTGGAACAGTTCAAACAAACAAACAAACAAACAAACAAACAAACAACCTACCAGCGACCGTGGTGAGCTGCCCATCCCCTACTCCGTCCCTGAAGATGAAGATCCTCTCGGGCAGTTCGTGGTTGACGTCGTGGTACTTCTTGAGCGCGGCGGTGAGGCAGAGCTTCAGGCCGTCCATCAGCTCCTGGCCGGGCAGCTGGAAACACGTCCGAGAGTACCAGCGTGTCAGCTCACTATGGAGAGGATATATATCATGGGTTATTTCAACATTTCAAGATTAGGTGGTGGGACAGAATCAGCAACCAGGACCTGTGGGATAGAGCAGGTCAGAAACCCATCAGAGAGCAGATACTTAAAAGGAAATGGTCCTGGATAGGACACACGCTGAGGAAGGCCAACTCTAGTATTACTCAGCAGGCCCTGACCTGGAATCCACAGGGAAAGAGGAAGAGGGGTAGACCTAAGAACAGCTGGAGAAGGGACACGGAGGAGGAGATGAGGAGCATCAGCACCAGCTGGCAGGACCTGAGGAAGAAGGCCCAGAGACGAGTGCAGTGGAAGAACATCATCGGTGGCCTATGGCCTGGCAGGGGCGAAGGGCCTAAGTAAAGTAAGTATTTCAAACACAATACTGTAACAAGTTACACAATAAAACAGTAGATAATGCCATCACTTCGCAGACATTAAGGCTGAATTGTGTGATTCAAAGCGTTTAACAATTGTTATACATCTAAAATCTTGGGCTCCTGGCCAGGCAGCTGGAAACACGTCCACGAGTACCAGCGCGTCAGCTCTCTATGGAAAGAATAGTAAAAAAATGACATGAACTAGAAAGGTAACATTCGCAAAGCAAATACATAATGTTTACCTTCAAATGTTCTACCTTACCAAACTACTGTTCTGTTTATTGTTAATCAAATACATTCATATATATGGTGATGGGCCTCTCCAAGTCTGTCCTGCTACAAAATGTAACCCAACACCACAGGGTGTCGGTTACGGCACCAGTTACCATGGCAGGGTTCTCCCCAGAGGATGGAACAAGGGCGCTGCGCCCTGATACTCCTAGCTCAGCGCCCTCATACTCATTTTCAAATCTAGGGTGTTTTGTTTATATTTTCTTCCGATAATTTTGCGAAAATTTGCCGAAATCCGGCGAGTTTGGAAGCCACGCGCGTCATTTTCCGTCCGCCATTGTTCTTCATTTGAAGTCTCGCCGAGTATCATCATGTCGCGAGACTTGAGCGCGAGACTTTCTTCTCATTGGCTGGATATGATGTAATGCTTTAAATCAAGCTCTCCTATTGGTCGGGATCCCCCGCATGTATAGCGTTTTAAAGGGTGTTTTCCCGGGAAAATTTCATAAACAGACCCTGATCACTCATCTGTTGTCTCCACTAGTGTGTCATTTGTAGCGTAATCACGGCGAGTCAAAAATCAGCGTC